GAATAGAGAGGAAGAATTAATGTTTATAGTTATATTATAATTCTGATTCATACATTTTTATCTTACATATTCCCCCCTTCAAAAAGAAAAAGGCTTAAGGCGTAGCGACAGAGAAGCCTTTTTAAAGAGAAAGAGTTAAAACACTAAGCAAATGTAAATAAATAAATAAATAAATAAAAAAAATAATAAAAATAAAAATAAATAAAATCATAAATTTTTGTCCTGTAAGTAATTTATAATATCAATTTTTTTTAAAAATAAATTTTTAATTTTTAGAGTCCATTGAATTTTTCAGCTTTCAGTCCAAAAGTCTTTTTATTTGAGAGTTCACATAATCATAATTCCTCAGGGAAGGTTCTTATTATCGCAGAATATCACAAAATAAACTTTTACATAATCATTACTTATAATTAAATGTTACTGATAAATTATAATTTAACATCATAAATAATAGGATTAATATTTTCAGAATTTATGGTTTCACCGTTATCATCTTTCATTTACAATTCCTGATTTTACGAAACTGGAAGCCTCGCAATACTTCTAAACAAACATATCTATCAATAGGCTAACCAGTGTGTTCTCTGCACTAGTGTCCCAGGGTGCCTAGACAGTTACTTGAAAAGGCCTCCGTTCCTTGCATTAAGGTAATTGGCCTTTCAGAACTGCACTAATACATTCCATAATAAAAAAATATAATAATAATAATATAACACACTCATAAAATGAGAGCCTCCAACATTATCTTGCATGAAGAGGGTAAAAGGAACAACTGTACAGAGGTAATTACAGGCCTCTGTTGAAGGAACAAGTACTCCCTCGACATACACTATACTTAACATGCAATCACCCATAAATTTAACATGCATTTACCATAATTTCATATTACTTATCTGTAATAATTTCATTTATTTTTTACACCTTTATTTTTAGAATAATTATAAAATTCGTATTCAAAATTCTCAACAAAATTCCAAAACATACAAACTTATCTTAATATCCTTCCCTATGAGTAATTTAAAATAGCTTAAAATTAATTACTTAATTTGCTCACACATAATTATGAAAAAATTAGAAAAATTAATGAACAAGAATTACAGATTTTCTCAAAACAAATTGCAGAAATTTTAACCAAAGTTGAAATGAAAACTATAGAATCTGAAGCACATTAAATAATTTAGTTCCTGAGCTAGATTCACACTAATGTAATAATTTTTGAGCTGTTGAAAAAGTGAAAGTGCAAATAATTTTCTGTCGCACATACTTGCAAACACTAACTCAAATCGATCTTGAACCCGCTGTAATGCTTAATTCACTGATGATTTAAAGCACTTTTTTTCTAAATATTGTAGAGATCGACGAAGCAAATTCAATATTCCTTTTCACTAGGCATTCGAACTTCTCAATTTATCGAGAGATTACTTTCAATCTGTAAACACTACACGAGATTATTTTTTGAAGCACTTGCAAAACACCACAGCAGAAGAATGATCTGTTATTTTTTTACACACTGAAAACAAACTTGATGATTCACTTCTTTCACATTATCTTGGATTTATCACAAAACGATGATTTGAAGAGCTAAATTAAATTTTCCATTCAGGTTTCAGGCTGCAGGAAACTATCCTGCCGGCTTAATTGTCATGATAAAAGCACAGGAAATAATGGAGCAGTGTCGATGCATGATTAGACCCATACTGAAGAAGAATTTGATTGCGTAGTATTTAAAGAACTTGGCAGTCGAGGCAGTTTTAATTCCATTTTTATTTTCAACTGATATTTGTGGCCACAATCACGTGCCTTTCCACAGATTTACATTTTTTGATATTGTTGAGACAGAAAGCAAGCCAGCGAAATTACATCTTGACAAAGTAGAGAGCAAAAGCTGAAGTGCGTAGTTATGAAAGATGGAAGCACGCGAAGAGAAAAGTTTTGGTTTACAATTTGGTGATTGGTCGTAAAGAGGCATCTGGTATTAACGGTTACGTAAGATCGCATGATTAATTTGAATGACTCAATGCAGATAAGTTATTACGATTTTAGAATAGAGAGGAAGAATTAATGTTTATAGTTATATTATAATTCTGATTCATACATTTTTATTATCTTACATACATATATTTGGTTATTTAATTTTTAAATACAGTTTGTTTGCTGTCTGAGTAGTTTTCATGTGAAGTACAAAGTAAGAATGCAAAAATCAGTACTCTTTAATACAACTTAGCGATAAGGAAAATTCAAAAGATGAAAGAGCACATTTTTAATCTAAGGATACGATAGAAAATGATTTGGGGTAGCAATCTTAATGGTAACATCTTTATGCAAAGGATAACAAAAAGTCCACTGATTTGCTAAAACAGTTATTGGGAGTATTTTGTAAAATACAGAAATGAATTTACGAAAGCATGCATTCAACAAATTTACACTTTAATAGGGTAAAAGCATATTTATGGGAACCGTTTGGCGAAAATTGGCGATAGATGGATCACAAGTTTGTGCAATTATTTGACTTGTTATTTTGGCTTTGTGTAGCTGCCACTTCATATGTTCTATCACCCCTTAAAGCCACGACTGTGGCTAACATGAAGTATAAGGTACACACCAAATTTGCTGTTAGATAATGATTTTAATCTGGTTACTTTACATAATGGTGTGCAGTGACAAGTTTGAGAAATTATGATTTTTTAACAGATCACTATGTGGGGAGAAAACAGAAAGGTATAATACAGTCAAAAGTCTTTAATTCGGACACCCATAATCCGGACCTCAAAGCTAAAAACTTTCTGCACATGCGCCGCGTTGACACACCTTTACGACCGCGCAGAAATGCGTGTGCACAAGCGCAGAATATGTTTTCGCTTGTGCGTTTAATGTACAACGGACGGTATAAGCTAAAATTATCTAATTATCTGTTTCAGTAAATGGTGATGATTGCATTGTTCCTTAATCTTTGAACTCGATCCGGCTTATTATTTTTTGTAACTTGAATTCTATTTTACATAATCGAAAGTAAACTTGAACTTTCGATTATGTAAAATAGAATTTCCGATGCTGGAGCTCCCAAAGGATCTACAAAACGAAAGTATGTTTCGATGTCCCTCAAACAAAAAGTGGAATTGCTGCAAAAAATGGATAAGACAATGAAGAATGTGACAGAGAGGTTAGTGAAAACGAAAAAATTTCCGATTGACAAGTTAGTCGGTATTCTCTGCACAGCAATATGGGACTTGAACAGCAGAACTTTGTAACTGAACAAGAAATTATGTCTCTTTATAGAATTAAAAGAAAGTATTATTACATAAAATGAAGCAACTTAAACAACTTACATTGAAAGAAATGTTTAATAAAGTAAAACAAAATATTAAGCTTTTTTTTTTGTAAATTTTGATACCCTTTAGTTCATATTGTTCTTTATTTCATAAATTACAGTTTCATATTTTTAATTTTATTTCTGCATGCCATCTTACGAGATTTAAACTGATGATGGCTAATCTTTGGAATTTGTAACCAGGTAGTTTGGCGACATTTGGTATGGCGATAAAGGTTACTAGCAGGACTTTAGCAGTGTACATGGATAAGTCAAGAGTGTGCGCCATGCCATTTTGTGCAATTCTGGGATATTTTTTTTAGTGAAAATTGGTCGACCTTGTACATGGATACCGTGTATGTGCAATTCTTAAAAATGTGGCAAGCAGTTTGTGATTCTGCACTTTCCCAATTTCGCACTTATCTTCTTCATTATAAGCACTTTTGTTCCATAAAAGTTTCTAGCATAAGCGTAATTCAGCTAGCAGATTGTTGGGAAAAAAATGTTGAGTTAAAAAAAAAGTCTTTACTTCGCAAAAACAAATGGGCGTCCAAACAAAAACTAGCAGGTTGCTGTAGCAGGGTTGGTCACCAAATTTTCACCAAAAAATCACCAAGTTACCATAATACAAAGATTAACCCAGAAATCAGTATTCACTACATTTAAACAATAAACTAGGGTAAAAGTATCGTTTAGGGTACCCCTTGGCGAAACACGGATATCAATTTTGCGAAATTCTTTGACTCCGGTATCTATGTACACATTGACCTATTTTCACTTTTCTTTTAACTTTATCCATGTACACATCGAACTATTTTCACTTAAAAAAATCCCAGAATTGCACAAACTTGCATTGCACACTCCTATTACTTTGTCCATGTACACATCGATATATTTTCACTTAAAAAGTCAAAGGAGCACCAAATTCTACAATATAGGCAAACAAAAAATGCACAATCTCAATAAAATACATTTTAAACCAAACAATAAAATAACACAAAAAGGAAAAACATGTTATACATTTAAGCACTACCAAAAGCAAATAGTCACCACGACTTTCGAGTTCGCTTCGTACACACAGAACCATGTCAAAGTCAAAATATCAATCATACTCAAATGACTTTTTTCAAACCAGGTACTCTTTCTGATCGAATGCTTCACATAGTGACCATCTGAACCTTTCTTCCTACAAACCCATCTAAACGGTCCATACATTCGACTAGACGCATATCCTTCCTACATACAGGACACTTAACTACTAAGTAAACCTTCAGTTACACACCAGTCAATTAAAGCTCTTTTCCCCTTTCGCTCCAAATCGTATAGAAACTTCAAATTAATCTTACTACATCCTACCGTCTAAAGAATCAAACCAACACACATCACAAAAACGCTTACAAAACATCCCATGATTCAAAATTTCCCAGAATCATGCACCTGATTACGTCACAGTAGGGTTTCCATAACATTCAACTATTCAGGCTACCATAAATGAAACAGCAACTTGGCGATAAATCAAACAACAACTTCGCCATAATACAAGGGGTACAAGTTTACTCTACCCATAAACTAGTACTGCTATATGCCACACATAGAATAACATGAAGTTTTATTTTAACATAAAATAATGTCTCCTTTTAATATTTTACTGACTAATTAAAAAAAGTACTACGTACACATGAAAAATTCAAACCTGATTCAATTTTCTGGACAAGTCATTTGTAAGACATTCTTCCTCTTGTTCATAATTTAGAGCTAACGTTTCTTTCTCCTTCTTCAGGGTTTTTATCTGCTTCAGCAAAGTATTACTTATAAATTCCTCTTCTTGCTCGGCTTTAGCTTGCTGAAATAAATTTTAGAAACGTTAATAAATCGGAATGGGAATGATTTTCGGTTTAATCCTAGTATCCGGTGCACACAGGATTTGGCGACTTTATGATGAGCAGTAAAAGCGGGACAATACGACAGAGGTTAAACCTTCAAAAAAGAAAAATACAGTAAACATAGTATATATGTATATAGTATATATTATAGATAGTTTGATCTGGATCATTTTAGTGTTGGCGATAATTTTCAAAGTCACGCCAAGGCTGCACCGTATACTAAGATTTTACCAATGATTTTCATTTATACAACTTTAAATATTTAATACTAGATAAATTTAACAATTATTTGAACAAGAACATGAACGCTAGGTATGCTTTGCCAGTTCAATTTCAAACACAAATATTATAAATATTATGAATGAAAAATCCTTTACTGATCACTGATCTTAAAAACATATTATTGATTTTAGTTATATCTATCAACACGAGGTAACTTACTATGTTGACACTGGCTTGCCTAAGAGCTTTATTTTCTTCTTGTAAACTTTTAACCCTCAATTTAAACGTCTCAAGTTCCATCTTCAGTACTCGATTTTCCTGCTGCAAAGATTCTATTCTTTTCTGGAACTGTTCCCTAGTAGCCGGAGATGAAGGAATCAACATTCCTCCGTCTACTGAGCTACTGTCGCTTTCACTAGCACTATCCGCCATTTTAATGAGCTTAAACACGCAGCGTTTAGCGCAAACTTATGAATTTAGCTCTAAAATCAAGTAAGATTACCTTAATATGAAACATATCTATAATACAACATAGAGCCATATATAAGAAAGAGAAATCACGACAATGGGAAAGATATAAATTTATATCCCTCATACGCAATCAGGGACCCGAAAATTTCTGATCTAAGCATCAAACCTGTTGCCGTTTATAGTTTACCTAATTAATACTGACTGAGAGATTAGAATAAAAGTATGAAAATATTCAATTTTCTTTCGGTAAATATCTCTAGATAATTCTAATATATAATGAATAAACCTAATTCCCTAAAACTGATATCCATAGAATAATGTTAGTTTTTAAGTACAAAATGAAGACTTCGGTGGTTTCGGGACATGTTTTGGGGTTGAATCCAAATTGCAACGCTTATCATGGCAAAACCGAATCCAACTGCACAAGATTCTTTAATACATTGCAAGCAGGGAGGTTAGAATAGATGTATCATTATACTCCGTGGCTTCAACTCTCTTTGGCTAAAAAATTCCGTTTTCACCTCTGAGAGAGTCCTGCCAAAAGTAGCAACCCGTAATTCTGAATTCAGAAATCCATTGGTACGGTCAACGCCTTCTATTGCCAAAAAGCTCCATTTATGTTTCTCAAAATTTACTCTTAAAGTAGAGAATTTATCGCTGTTCTCTTTAATTTATCTAAAACTGCCTTTTTCTCATTTCACCTTTGAAATGTATCTGAGCCATCTGAGCTTGATTTTCGTTCTGCCTGTAGAAAGACTTAGTCGGTGCAAAACAATTTATCTGTTTTCGTTGTGTGTCTAAATATGAAGTTGAATGTAGTTCAGCTTTTGCTTACTTTCTTACTGCAAACTGTGATCTTAACTTTTAGTTTAAGTGCATTTACAGTATTTCTTTTATTCAATCGTAAGCAAAATTTGCTTTTCTCTTCTGTGTAATTTAATGAAAAACTTCATGCAGACCGTTCCTAGGCCATTGGCTGCCCTCGTACTTTTCTAGGATTCCCGCTACTAAATTTAAAAGAAAAAAAAAAAAGCTCAATGATTAATAAAATTTGTATTTCATACAAACTAATTACTTACATATAACAAATTGTATAAAAAATATTTACACATGACAAGTACTTATAATCAATTTAATTAATTTAAAATAGTTGTCGTGGTATCCCGAAAGTCCGGCCCTTTCTAATTTTAACCGCCCGCGTACTTTTACGCACTGCAGCCCCAATAGGAACGGCCCTGACTTCATGCTAAATAATATCATCAGTCTTGGTATTTAAATGTGTTGCCAAAATGTTTTAATGTGAATTCATGCGGTTTCATAAAAAAATATTTAAAATTTTATTACTTTTATCAAAATTATGAAATCGTTTGATTGAAAAAGCTGTGTATTTAAATATGTGTTTATTTTTACATGTAGCTTTAATTTTTATTTAAACATTTAATGTTTTTGCTGAAGTATTTAATATCTTTAGAATCTTTACAGAAATCTGTTTTAGTAAATTTAAGAAATTTGTATGCAGTGTAACTTTATTAAATAGTTGCTGCTAACAAAGAGAAGATAATAAAGTATGATACATTATCTGTTTTGCTATGCTTATTCTGGGACTAGATAGAAAAGGGGACTCAGTTATTATTAGCAGCTTTCTGCCAAAATTTGGAGATTAGTTTTTTTAGTTATCTCATAGAAAAATACAAAATACAGTTTTGACAAATTTGCTGAGTCTCATTCAGCTTTCTCACCATTGTAAAAAATATCCCAAAACTCCTTTTTTGTGGGTAAAAAAAAAAAAAAAAAAAAACCCCTTCCTAGAAAATCTTTTATTATTCAGGACATATTCATTAGTAGAATTACAGATTACAATCCTTTCTATGGAAATTTCAGCATTTTAAGAAAGCAGTGTACTACATCTAACAAAGAAGTGTTTTATTAATCTTTGGTGAAATCTTGGACTTGGCTTTCTGCATGCGTGGCACATAATATTTTTGCTTAAAAGCATGATATACCTTTCCCCCCCCTTTCATTTTAGGATTTTTCTGCCAAGTGTGTGCAAGTCTCTGATGCTTTTTTTAGTAAAAATGGATCACTATGTACGTGAGAACAACAGTGCAAAAAAGAGAGAACTGTGTGTATCTTATACGGAACAAGAAGAATTTTAAAATAAAAGCAGTATTGCATACATTGTACGAGGGTTGGAACTTTAATAGTAGCAACTGTTTATTTACAAGGAATACAAAAGTGATTCATGTTACCATGCTTTACAGTCCTTCAATATAGTCGCCAGCATTGTGTACAACCCGTTTCCAACGATATGGAAGTCGCAGAATACCTGTAGCAGCACCTGTTTTGTTGATAGTTTGAATGGACCGGTCTACTGCCGCAAGAATCTCAGGAACAGTTTGGAAGCGAGTGCCACGAAGTGGTTCCTTCATCTTAGGAAATTAGTCATAGTCACAAGGGCTTAGATCTGGGAAGTATGACGGATGGTAAAGCACTTCCCAGCTCCATCGCTTGAACAAATCAGTCACAGCTTGCGCTGCATGTGGCCGAGCATTGTCATGCAAAATGCGAGGAGCGTTCTGCAGAAAGTGTCGCTGTTTTTTTCTCAAAGCTGGTTGGAGATTGTGCTCCAAAAATGAGCAGTAATAGTGCGCAGTGACAGTCTGCTGTGGGGGAACGGTATGCATTAGGATGACACCATCACAGTGGTACACGAAAATCACCATAACTTTCACATTGCTGTGGTTCTGACGAAATTTCGAACGTGGTGGTGACCCGTGATGACGCCATTCGTTTGATTGGCGTTTCAGTTCTGGCTGGTACGATCGAGCCCAAGTCTCATCCAGCATAATGATACGGCGTAAAAAAGCATCTCCTTCGTGCTCATAGCACTCCAAGTGGCAACATTGTATCATAGCCATTTCTGCATTTCCGTCAATTGATGTGGAACCCATCGTGAAGCAATTTTTCTCATGGACAGGCGTTTCTTCAGAATGTGCAGCACAGTCGTATGTGCTAATCCTGTTTGTCCGGCCAGCTGATGAATTGTTTGGCGGCGATCACTGTCCATTAGTGTAGCAACAGCTTGCACGTCTGCATCGCTGACACTCGGACGACCTGGCCACAGCATGTCTGCCACGTTTTGCCATCCTTCATTGAATGCTTTCACCCATCTTGCTATGGTTCTGTAAGGCAAATGCAGATTCCGCAAGCCTCATGAAGCCTTGATGACACTGTCGTGCTGTACGATCTCTGGCACATTCATTTTTATCAACATCGTTGTTCTTCGTTTGAAAACATCCTGACAACACTTACTTTAGACCGCGAGCTAATACAAGGATCCATTCTTCGCGTCACTCCACATGCGCGTGACGTAGGCAGGAAGAGTCTTTTTGCTGAGAGGTAAGGTAGATATGTAGTTCACTTGTGGTATATGCAATATTATTTGGTTTTGTTGCGTAGCGTTTTTTCAGCTGTGTTGCCACTATTAAAGTTCCAACCCTCGTATAATTAGACAAAAAGATACCCAAATAAACATTTGTTTCCAAAGTTGCCAACTAGCTCACAACTTTTCAATAGGGATGTGGGTAATCAGAAAATACTAAAATTTTATTTATACTTAACTAGGAAACATGTTTAACATTTATACATAACTAGCAAACAAAAATTTTCTTGTATCTTATTAAAATATTTGACACAGCTTGAGTATAGGATCACATTGTTGATTCTTATATTTGGCACACTTTTTTGCACTATTTCATTTTTAGTAAACCAGCGAATTCTAGAATACTCCATTTTTTCAGTTCTGTCACAGTCCAAAGTATTTTAAATTGAATGATGCCATTTTTTTCATTGGAGCTGCATACTCTGGAATTATGAACTTTCTTCTTTGTTGGATGTAAACTGCTTGTATTTGATTACTTTTATTTCATTTTATTTTGGGTTCTGTCTGCTGTCTGTTACCGTCTTCTGCTTTAAGTATAGCTGAAAAGTTTCAGGAAGTATTAGAGGGTAATTTAAATTCTAAATTTTGGAATGGGAGGATGACTTTAGGAAAATGGGGGATAGCAAATAGGGTATTTTCTATGTGTCAGGGTCTGTAATTGGTTTTTGCAATTTTTAAGAGAAGCAGAGTTAATAAAGGAAAGGGTTATATTTGAGAATTTAAAAAAAAAAAAATTTAATGGTGGGCACTTGCTTATTCAGTATTGACCACTTGTAAGGCTAGAAGTGCTAGTCATTTTATTATGAAGGCACCTAATAGGCAGTCTGTGAAGTAGCAGCTATCTAATAGGCTGCTTCATAGTTGTCTTTTATTAAGTTAAAAACCATGCCTTCTCCAGAATTTGAACCCTGGCCCTTGAGTACTGCAGTAGGCTCTCCTAATCACTAATACCGTCTGGGCAGCTGTATTTGAGAAGTGTAATTCTGTAATGAAATTTAAAGTTAAAAATTTAAAGTCATGCAGGTTTTTGTAGATTTGTAAGAAATTTATGGGAAGGAAGAAATGTAGAAATCAAAAGTCAATTCAGCATAGGTGATGTAATAGTAAGTTGAGGATGGATCAGGAATGTCTTAAGCCTTCTTGAGGCTCTGGGTCCTTATGCAAAAGTAGGCCCCCCCACCCATGTCACTTTTATTTCATTAAATGTAAGGTTTAATAAAAGCAATCCATAATAAAATGAAGTTTTATTAGGAAATTCGTTTTCTACATTTTAAATTCACAACATCATTAATTATGTCTTCAAAATCAAATTTTGATAATGTTTCATTTTCAATACTAATCAAACTTACATTATTCAAGCAAAATTGAGTCATATGATTTCTCAATTCATTTTTGACCAGTTTGAGTTTTGAAAATGAATGCTTACCACTCATGTTAGTAATCCTCAACTAGAAAATTCTCATAACTGTAATCAATATCTGAAAACCCTGTGAATAGTCACGTTATACAAGGGTTGCTATTTATATTTCTGGCCTAATAATGAAAAAACAAATATTTATTGTCAAAATGGATTTTATTATTTTTCGAAATATTCTTCATGAAGATCAATACTCTTTTGAATGCATTTTAAGGAATTTTCGAAGCATTTTTCCCACTCCGGTTGAGGTAACTCCAAAACAGGCATACAGTCAAAAGTCGTTAATTCGGACACCCATAATCCGGACCTCAAAGCTACAAACTTTCTGCGCATGCGTCGTGTTGACGCATGCGCGTAAGACCTTTACGGCTGCGAATATGTGTGTGCGCATGTGCATAATATGTTTACGCATGTGCATTTAATGTATAACGGACGGTATAAGCTAAGCTAAAATTATCTAATTCAGTTAATGTTGCAGATTGCGTTGTTCCTTAATCTTCGAATTGGATCCGGCTTATTATTTTTTGCAGACTGTTAGAGCAATTTTATAAAAGTAAGCTTGAACTTTCGATTATGTCAAATAGAATTTCTAATATATATTTACTAATATGTAAAGGATCTGCAAAGGGAAAGTATGTTTCGAAGTCCATTAAACAAGAAGTAGAATTGCTGCAAAAAATGGATAAAGGCATATCCTTCGTTTCTCTAACCATTTCGAAATCTGTTTATTAATTTCATGCTGCTCTGCGGTGCACAATGAATTGGAAGTTGATCTGTCAGCACTTTCCTTATCGTCAGGCCAGATGTTTTTATTTTATTTGGCTTATAATTCCTTACTAAATGTAGTATTTCATCTCGATGTACTCCGTCTTTGATATGATTTAAATCAAATTCCTCGTCATTATAATTCGCTTCTGATAGTGAAGAAAGTGACACAGAGGTTATTGAAAACGAAAAAATTTTGATTGACAAATTAGTCGGTATTCTCGACACAGCAATTATAGGACTTGAACAGCGGAACTTTGTAACTGAACAAGAATTATG